ACCCCCCTGTATGAACCTGCCAGGCAATTAAGATCAAAGGCTATGCTTTGTGAGCCCACACTTTCAGAGGCTACGCGGTTGGGCTGGGCACTGGAAACAGAGCCTTCTCAGCAGTAGCGTCTCAAGCTCTGAAGCACACACAGAAGCATATGAATATGTTTTTATTCTCACAAGCTTTTCAGAACCTTTCCCCTGTGGAGCGTTCTCAATTGTCTTGCTTTTACCTGATTTTATGTTGGCTTTCTTTTTTTCTTTTTTTTAGAGCTTCCCATTTTTTCACATGATGCTGCTTTAAATTGCTTTTATTTGTAATGTTTATGCTGTTCTTGCTTCTGTACTTTTTATTGGTGCTCATATGTACAGTAAGCTGCCTTACAGAGAAAGAAGCAGGGCAAAAACATTTTAAACAAACCATCACTGTTACACTGATTCTTTATGCACATCTTGATTTATACCCCACAGAGTCTATCATTATGGATTGCACTTTAGAAAGAATTACATTTTATATCCTACATCATAGCAGATTGTATATCATTACACTGGGGAGAAAAATTAGGGAGACTCTTGGCTGGGGTTGATTTGGAATTTACTTTGGCTGTTGTAATTTTTTTCACACGTTATAACAAATAAAAATGATTTTAATTTTGGGGGGTTGGACTGGTTTATGCAGATTTTAATATGGCAGTACTCAAAATCCATAGGTTAAATGAATAGTATCATATAAGTATATCTTACACTCCAAAACTAATATACCAACATATTGAGTATAGCCATATTATTATGGGTAAAGTATAATGTGAGGAAGGGAAAACACATCATAAGTAACCTATAGAACTCTGACATAACAAAAAAATGGTGTAGAAAGAAAAAGATGTATATCCTCACCCCATCACTATAGGACTGATATCCTGATAATTAAACTGATATTTTTAATGAGCTAAGGCCTGTTTACCCTTTGGTGCCGTTATTTTATATATATATATATATACACACACACACACACACACAGTGCTTCTCAAAACTGTGCCAACTGTTCATATTTAATGCCTGAATTCCTTGTAAGTACAAATAGGCATCCTTTTAATGATATATAATACTGGGAGAGGTATTAATTTTGTAATCATCCTCCAAGTCTCGGGCACAAATAATCTAGTTTTTTTAAGCTCCAGCATTTTATGTCTGTATTTTGACACAATACAGAATAGCAAGTGGGCTTGGCTGCAATCTGCTTCTGCCAATGCTACATCTGTCAGTGGGATTTATTGGTGTAAAGGGACTGGAGCACAGAGGGACCATATACTGCTATAGCTACCATACACCACCTGTGATTTCTGCCATCACTACTCTATAAAAAGCTGTTAACAGCTCCCTTGAAATAAGACAAGAAGAAGAAAATAAAAGTTAAATCTTTTTTCATGTGAGGACAAAAACAGTACAGATGTGCCTCATATGTCAACCATCTACTTCACCACTGCTTTTAAAAAATCATAGGCAGTTGAGATGATTCAGTTGCATTGACAAAAGCTGCTAGTTGCTTTTTGAAAACTATTTCCCATAAAACTGAGAATACTGACAAGGTGGGTTTTTAAAAAACTAATATCATGGTGTTGTTGCCTATCTTTAAAGCCCTTTGTGAATGTTACATTATGAGCCCAATGGTTACGAGCACATGCTCATGCCCAATTCTTATATACCTGACAGTTCCTTTCCTATTATTGCCCTCTTTGTGCCTTTTCGAGAACTTCTGAAGAACCCTTTTTAAAAATAAAAGTGTGTCAGCTAATAGAGATTCAGACTAGGGCCCAAGTACAAACCCCTACACAGCCATAACCTTACCAAGTGATTTTGACATAGTAACTCATTCTCAACCTAAGCTACTTTGCAGGGTTGTTGTGAGCACACAAATGGAGAGGCAGAGCCATTTATGCCATCTTGAGCTCCTTGGAAGAAGGGTGGATAAAAATGTATAGATAGCAGCGGAACACCTAGTCAGACATATATACTAAAGTATGCGAACATCCCTCCCCCACATAACCCATTTATCCCAGATAGATAACGTGGCAGAATGTATTTGTGTTGCCATTATTGTATAAGAATAAGAATCAGGTCACCTGCAATGTTAAATAATCTTACGATTTCAAGAATGAGATTGTAGCAGTCTGTTTACTAGTAACATCTGCTTCAAAGGTCCCTGCAGTACACTATATGCATATACAAATTGGCACAATTAGAAATGCACATTTTAGTCACTGTACAATGTGCTGGAGCATCACCAGGCACACCTACTGCATTGCCAAGTGCATTGCACCTAAGCAGTGGCAGACACTATTAGAGATAGAGAAAGTAGACAGGATTCCTCTATGCATGTGTGCAAGGATGTGTCTATATGAGAGTGCATGTATAGTAGAATGTGTGCGAATTTGTGTGCACATTACATGAACTATGCTCAATGGTAAGTGAGCAGGTAGCAGTAGTGACTATCCCTGAAGCAAACAGCCTATAGGCATGTATGTACACAGAAAGGGTGACCGGGATTTTTGACAAAGGAAAAAAGAATAGAATTTGTTGTGCAGGATAGGGATGGGCACGAACTGACCCAAAGCAAAATTCGTCATGAATTTTGCCCTGTTTGTGGTCCAGGAACCGAAGTCTGTGACGAGTCTACCATCACGGATTTCCATGAACCGTTAAGGCGGTTCATGGGGTTCATGCCAGTTCCTGGCCAGAGCAGAAAGCAGGGATTTAAAGGCATTCTGAGTCCATTTAAACCCCTGCTCTCTGCTCCAGCAAAAAGCCACAAGGCTCCCCACCACTCAGCTATTTTGAGCTTTCTTGTGCAGTCCCTTTAAAGTCTAAACTGGTTTAAAGGGGCTTTCTTCAGCAGCCAGCCCCTTGGGATTGCTGCCCCAAAAATCCACAAAAAAGTGGAAAAAAAGATGGCCACCTAAGAAATCACACGCACACGCATTTCAGGAACTTGAGGAAGCATACAGGGGAGCATATGTGGTGGTATGGAATGGAAGAAGGCCCCGGACGTATTTGGGACAGTATATGAGACGAAAAGTAATGAGTATGTTTGCAATGAATATGAGGATATGCAGTGGGGATTTACTCAGGATTGTGATCCTTAGCTGTACAACCCTAGTGTTATAAAGGTATACAACTAATGTCACCTCCGCTGCTGCTAAAATTAGATTACACACCATTGCAGACAATACTGCTATACATATAATTTATTTTAAAAATTAATAGTAATTGCATATAAGCATATAATGTAACTGTACTCTTGGTATATATGTTATGTGTAGTAGAGTGTCTGTTAGTAGTGTGTAGATTTGTCTGTTGTAGATTAAAAAATAAATAAAAGTGTACCTATGGGTACTTAAAAAAAATTAATAGTGTCACATTTGTTGTACTGTATTTTTATTCTGCTGCCTTTGGAAACATGTTATCAGTGTGCTCATAACACACTAATAAGGGGTCTATGGATGAAAGTAAGTAATCCAGGGAATCAATTGAAAATGCCTCATCAGAGGCATCAGTACTTAAGGCTGCAAACTCTAGTTTGGGAAATTCCTGAAGATTTTGGGTGTGGAGCCTGGGGAGGGTGGGGTTTGGAGGTGGAGGCATTCTCTGTAAGATATACTGTCAGTTTCCATCCTCCAAAGCAACCATTTTCTCCAGGGGCATTGACCTCCGTTGCCTGGAGATTGCCTGGAGTTGTCATTCTGGAAGAGCACCAGGTCCAACCTAGAAGTTGGCAACTCCATCAATACTGTACGTCCTTCTGGGTATAGACATTACATTGTAATGCCACCTTGAATTCTGTAAGGTAGAAAGTCAGCTAATAAATGCTTTAAATAATAAATAACCCATGCTCAAAATCATTAAATATGATGACTGTGTGCCCACTGCAATTTAAGAAGTACCTCTTCACAGATTCAAGTAAGGCCATATCTACACTACAGTTTTTTAACTCTTTCCAGGAAACTACAGGAGCTGAAGTACCACAGGTGAGCCAACCTGTATAAGCATTGTGATATATAAATCAATGGTTTGGATTATAATATGTTCCTAGGATATTGTTGGAGGGCTTCAAGTCTGCTCAGCATCTAAACAGGAGAAACCTCCTATGAGCCACATGGATGCTATTTTAAGTTTGATGAGAAAATAACACTGAGAGTGTAATAAATAAAAGAGTTAAGACATTGTTTTAAACATACTTTGATACTTTAAGATCCATCGGAAGGAGAAGGAGGAGGAGGAAGAGGAGGAAATTGGATTTATACCCTGCCGTTCACTACTTGAAGGAGTCTCAGAGCGGCTTACAATCTCCTTTCCCTTCCCCTCCCCACAACAGATACCCTGTGAGGTAGGTGGGGCTGAGAGAGCTCTTTTGAGAACTGCTCATGAGAGAACAGCTCTGAAAGAACTTGTAACTGACCCAAGGTCACACCAGCAGCTGCACATGGAGACGTGGGGAATCAAACCTGGTTCTCCCAGATTAGAGTCTGTGCTCCTAACCACTACACCAAACACAATCTTTTAGTTATTATAAATAACCTATTATAAATGTGCTCCTAGTACAGAAATCAAGACAGAATCACAGGAAATTCAAATTCCAATTGTAATGGAGGGAGCAGGCCTTGACTCAGTGGTAACACATCTGCTTGGCATGCAGAAGGTCCCAGGTCCAATCCTCTGCAATATCCAGTTTAAAAGATCCAGTAGTAGAAGACGTGAAAGACCTATGCCCGAGATTCTAGGAAGTTGCTCGGCGCTGGCAGTCTGAATAGGCAAAACTGACTTTGATAGATCAAAAGGAGGATTTATTCTAAGGCAGTTCATGTGTTCAGATTCCCTATCATGGTATCACTGTCTGATAGTCCTTTCATGGTAACACTTCCCTACAACAACTGTATATATTTTCCGAGAAACAATTCTGCAGCACTTCTAAGAACATAGGCACAACTGTGTGAGAAGATAAAAAATGTAATTACCTTTCCAAAATCACGGACATCAAATAAGTCAAATGCTTCAAAAAGTTCACTCTTCTTCATACCAAATGTCTCATGACATGCTGTGAGGAATGTTCTTATGTTCTTCAAACAAAGGAACTAAAGAGAAGAAAGAAAGGGAACACCTTTTGATGTGTCATCAAGTTATCTGTGAGTACATACAGTTACCTCTAAAAATATATTCTGTCAAACAGGTATACTGCAATTTCTTGAAAGCACACATCCTTTTTCAGAAACCCAAGATGGAATCCAAACTGCTTTGATTCATGCAACAGTCTGCACTGCTTTAATGGGCTATCAGACTTCTTTTCTTTGAATAGCTAATCTTTACACTGCATCACAAACTGCATCTGAAGCATCTCTCCATTAAAAAAATGTGTTTGATATGTCATAGAAGACTCTTATTTGAAAAAGACATGCTTCAATAGAACTAGTTTTACAGTTTTGGGGATCCTGGCAATTGATGTGGATTGCTGCATGTGGCTGCCACACCACCCGACAATGAAACAGGGAGAGTTCCGCAAAGCGGTCCAGTGGTCTGTGGGTCTTAAGTATTTTGAAAAAGTACATTCAAGACGCCCAATATACTTCTCACAGGAATATCCAGAGTCAGTACCACCTATGCCAACTTGTTTAGTTGTATGAGTTCACATTTAAATAGCTACCCATAGTTAATACAATGAAAAATCAGTGCGAGAACCTATAGCAGAAAATGCACAAGGCTCACTCTCAGTAGTGAAAAAATAATAATATTGTTAAGATACCCTGGCAATTTAATGTCCTTTTAATGTGCTATCTGAGGGAGGCAAACCCATCCTGCCCCACAGTAGAACAAGCACAAATTGATAGCATCCTGTCATTACATATAAAGTAAGATATGAGAGACAAGCCGGTTTTGAGAGGGAAGTAACTTTTGAACTCCACAAGTATTACAGCTTTAAGAGACACACACTTCAGGCATTGATTGCCACAGCAGAATTCATTACTTAGCATATGAAAACAAGCATTTTGTGCATATTCACCAAAACAGTTAATTAAAACTCTAATTAAACAGATTCTGTAAATACATGCACCATGCTTACAGATTAAAACCACCATACATGCATATTACTTCTGCAGAATGGACAGTAATTATACCTTTGAGGATTATGCAGTTATGGTTTTACAGTAAATTATGCTGAAATAAAAACTAGTTTACTACATTAATGTGTAAAATTTGCATTATAGGACTGTTTCCCCTCAGAGTTGAACTGAAGGCATCAGATTTGCTTTGGGCAAAGTGACTAGTGAAAGTATTTCAACAGCTAAATGAATTGTGAAGACCTCCCAAAGCACTGCAACATAGGTTTTCTAGATTCTAAACAGTACATCTGTGTTAGTCTCTCTGTAGCCTGAGTCAGTCACGCTGGCACAAATAACATCAGTCAAAGCAGCCATTCCAGTAGCACTCATATCCCTAGATAACAAGATCCCAATTTCTCCTCCCCATCAAAAAACCCCACACCTTTAAAATACCAACATTTTGCTGAAAGGTAGTGGTTTCTAAGCCTCCTCCTTATAGAGTTGCCAGGTCCCCTGGCCACCTGCACGGGAGGGGAGGGGGGGGGATAGGGTTACCAGTTTCAGGCTGGGAAACTGGAGATTTGGGGATGGAGCCTGGGGAGGACAGGAACCTCAGTGGGGTACAATGCCATAGAGTCCACCCTCCAAAGCATCCATTTTCCCCAGAGGAAGTGATCTGTGTAGTCTGGAAAGGAGCTGAAATTCCAGGGGATCCCCAGGTCCCACCTTGAGGCTAGCATCCCTGTCTCCATAGCAGCAATCCTGAAAATGCTGCAGAAGATGCTGCTATGATGTTGATATGCCCTGGCTTGTTTTTTAGTAGCTTGTTTTAATGGCTTTGATTTAAATGTAAGTTGCCTCAAGCAGGTCCCTAGAGAATGATAAGAATACAACAAGAGGACCACAGTGTGAATGATAGAATCCCCACCAGCTGTGAATCTTGCTAGGCTGAGTGCCACGTTTTTGAGAATTTGATTGGCGATTCCCTCCATTTTCTAAGAGCATTATTTGATGAATATACTGAAGCTTACAATATATAACAGATTGAAAACAACATTAGAATCATATAGTTCTTATATTCTGTAAGACCTGAGGAAGGCAGCAGAAATGAGTCAACATCAGCTCTCATTGTCTTACTAATTTCCTGCATCTTCATTTCGTCTAGACTTTCATGTCAACTTACAACCCTATGGGGCAAACACTGTACTTTTGAAAGAAGAAGGAAAAAACTTGAATGTTTTGTATTTAATTTACATTGCAATTATTGTGACTGTGTAATAATAAATAAGCATTATAAATACCAATATACTGGAAGAAAAACAACAACATTTTTGAGTTGATTTAGGATTATATGATTGTTCATTACATGGTGCTTTAGTGTTAATATTTTCTATCAATATTTTCTATTTTCTTTCTGGCACATACATTTTCTAAATAAATAAATAACCATTCAAAATGCTAATTAATTATAACTTTTAACAATGTTGGGTAAGGGGTGTGTGCATCTGTGAATAATGCACCGAAGAACTCTTGTTTGAGTGGCTTTAGCCCAGAACAGGGTCAGTTTCAAAATATTTTTAATTGACATAAAAGCAGAGGTAGCAGAGTAACCACAACCAATTGTTTGCTATTTGGATTGTATCTGAATTGTTGTATTCCTAGTCCTATTGCATTATTACTTGGATGTTTTATGCTGTTTGATTACATTTCCCCCCTCTTTCCTTACTCTGTAATTCACTTTCCATCTCACTGAGAAAGGCAAGCTACAAATAAGCTAAATAAACAAATATTTAAAGCAATCAGAAGTTAAATTTTCAGGGCAATTGTGCTAAGCAGGCAGAAGGCCAGCTCTTCCTGTTTGGAGATACCTGTTGTTGTAAGACAGGCGGCCATCATCAGAAATGCTGCTATGCTGCTGGGGTTGCCCCAGAATGCTATCAAGCTAGTGCGAAAGCAGCCATCATGCTTATCTTTGCCAACTATGATGCCACTATGCAACAAAAAGGTAAGTTGCCACCTACACAATGAAATAATATATGTTCAACTGACAGCTCAACTGACAAGTGTATTAACTCAAAAGAAGAGATCTGACCTTTACTCCCCTTTCACATTGTGTTGTCACTGTACCACAAACTACTATAGGTATGCACAAGTGGAGCCCCGCAAGAAACTTGCAGCATGGTTATCCCATTCCTCACATCTTTGCTTCCTCCCCTCTCCCCCTACTTCTCTCATACTCTTTCTGCCTTCTGCCCCTCCTTGCTTGATCTCTCTCTCTCCCCTCCATGTATGTTACTTCCTCTCTCGTTCTGACCCGTTGTTTCACTGCCTCCCCACCTCATCACTCTTTCACTTTCTTTTTGCCTCCCCACTCTATCACTCTCTCTTTCTGCCCCCATCACTCTCCCAGCCTCCTGCCTGCTTCCTCTCCACCACCACCACCACAGCAGCAGTGGCAACGCTCTGGGAATCACAACGGATCTCCCAGCTGCAGCAATCAATTCACCTTAGGGCTGCCAGCTCCAGGTTGGGAAATTCCTGGAGATTTGGGGGTGGAGCCTTGGGACAGTCCACCCTCCCCAGGATCCACCCCTCAAATGTCCAAGAATTTCCCAGCCTGGAGTTGGCAACACCCAACTCCCAACAGCCAACCTACCTTTAGCTGCCTCTCTGTCTTCACCTGTCCATCTCCACACTCCCCCCCCACAGCCTCTACCTAGGAAAATTACAGTCTTTCTCCACAGTGGGGACCAAAGCAGCTTACATTATTCTTGTCTCCTTTTTATCTGCACAGCAACCCTGTGAGGTTGGTTAGGCTGAAAGTATGTGACTGGTCCAAAATCACCCAGTCAACTTCCACTGCAAGATGGGGATCTGAACCTGGGTCTTGAAGACCCTACTCTGAAGCTCTAACTGCTGCACCTCACTGGCTTTCATAGGGTGGCTGCTGATAAACAGTAGCAAGCAGCCCGGCCTAGTTGAGTCATGCAAATCAGGGGGGACCTGGCAACCTTAGACTACTGCCAGGCCTAGGGTTGCCAAGCTCCAAGTGGACCTGGAGACCCCCCAGAATTACAACTGGACTGTAGACAGCAGAGGTCTGTCTCCCTGGAGAAAATGGCTGCTTTGGAGGGTGGACTCTGTGGCATTATACCCAGCTGGGGCCCATCCCTTCCGCAAACCCAGCCCTCCTCACAGCCCACTTCAAACCCTCTAGGAATTCCCCAGCCTGGCACAGGCTCCCTCCCTGAAAGGCCAAAATAGAACTGGAAAGGGGCCCTTCCCCCTCCCCCTCCTTTTACTGACAGAAAGAGTTAGAAGCCTCCCCCCCTCCCCTGAACGTTCTAATCTCTCACCATTGATGTCTGGAGTTAGATCCCTGCAGAGGCCATTTCAAAAGGTATTCAACCCTCCCTGATTTTTTTACTTTTTGGATTTTTGTGCAGACTTAGGAAGGCTCATAACTATGTAGGAAAAGCTGTTGGGGGAGAGTGAGCCCTCTGTTGGCAGAAATAAGTATCCACACAGGGGGGGCAACTTGGCTATTAGATATATAGATGAGCAGAACAAGGAGTAAACATTTCCATGGGCATATCTGCAAGGATACCATACGTCTTGTAGCAGACTTTTAATCACATAATTCTGCCTTGAGTGAGGACTTTATGTTTGAGCTCTCATGGTAAATTAGCTGGTTGGTAATGGGTAATTGGGGGTTACCAGAGTAAATATAAGTGTTATCTATAAAACCTAGGGTTCTGGAGACTGTGCAAAGCAACATTCTGCTTCTATTAGGATTGCTGTCAGGAGCATGAAACCCACCATTTGTCACCATTTGTCAATCCTGCCTCCATTGGAAAGGGAACACATCTAGAGTTACAATGCACAAAAGTAATTCCTTTAAAGTAACAAGCCTCTTGACAATAGGATGAAATCACCCATTAGCTGAAAGTACACTTAGCGTGTTTGGTTTCAGATTTAACAGCTCAATAACTATCAATTTCATCTTTCAAATGGATTAAAAGGTTTGCCTTTTAACA